TTTGTTCTCTCCCTCTCTATGTGCGTAAGTCTCTGTGGGGCAGTGCTACATAAACCGTCACATGTTTCCTGGGTTGCTTCTGCCAGTTTGCATAGTCACTCACTCCAACTTGTTGGGTCTGGACCATGTTACTGGCAAGAAAATAAGGTTTGGTTGCTTACTCACTCCCTGAGTTTCCGGACTTTAGTTACTTTCATGGTGGTTGTTGGGAAACATTTTATATGTTTGCTTGTTGTGGTTTAGTGGTTGAAATCCAACCACTTAGCTGCTAAAACTTAAATTTTTGCTCCCCTTTCAACGTCAACCAAGCTTTTGGGAATACCATTTTACTGGTAAAACAGTTTGAGCTTGTTGCCAGGAAGTGAGTTCTGGTTCCTTCTGGTTCCTTCTGCTTTCCTTGAGCTCTTTTGCTGAGGCCTGGCTATGGCCGCAGGGCATTTGCTCAGGCGCTCGGAGGCTGGGCGACGGTATGGTGCTCAGCCATCTCGTTCAGTGAGCTTTTTAGATCTTTTGAGTTGGTTTAGTGGTAGTTTCCATTGGAAGCAAGCTAAAAGTTAAGCACTTTGAGCAGGGGATCAGAAATCGGACAGCCCAGTTTTGAGGGGCACGTAGTCACCGAAAGGGATGTGATTCGCGCGCAATCATTGGGGGACACAGCCAACCGGCCGAAACCTGTTGCCAGAGCAGACACATGGGGTCTTTTTTTGAGGGTACCAGCCTTTTCGCCCGGATTTTTGTGGACTCCAGGGAAACTCCCGCATGTAAGGGGAGGGTAGCCTTAGCAACAGACCCACCCAGGCATAGTGGAACCATGACAAATCCCCCCGGGTATGGGGGGGTTGAATCCGATTTAGCATCGTATTCTTTGATGTTTCAACCGGAGGAGCGGGGAACCAGCTGTGTCTTTCGATGGCATTGCCCCATGAGAACACATGCTGCAACCCGCTGCCCACATGAAAACGGGCACGCTGTTTTACCCGGTGTCATCTTGGGTGTGTCGTGTTTTAGGGGAACCGGGAACCCCCTAAAAGGTGGCCTTCCTGTTGGTTCCCCTTTAAACCAACCCCGAAAAGGGCAGACGAGCCACCCATTGGGTTTTATATTTCTCCTCCTGAGTTCCGGGTGCCGAGTGGGTTTCTCTCATAGAAACCATCCTCAGGAAATTCAAGAAGGGAAATTGGCCCATCCACAGGAAAAAAACAGGTTGGGCTGCCCTCCCACCAATTAATCTGGAACTGACAGGGGGCCCCTTTAAAAGGAAAATTATCTTCCAGACCCCCCCCTGTCAGGTTCTGTGTTAATTGGTGGGAGCGTAACTTGGATCATTTCCTGTAGATGGCTCGTCTTTTTTCGGATTTGGACCCCCAAAGTGCTGGGCTTCCTTGGGCGTCCCTTCAAAATCACCAAATCGAGGGTAGCCTTCAAAACATACACCCCAGGCCCCAGATGCTTCTTAGATCTCACTTATGTCTTCTTTTTGGGAACCCTTATTGGTTGGTTTTAAGGGGACACCCACAGGACAAAACACGAAACTTTTCGGGAGTCCCCTCAAGAAAGCCGAAGCCAGTTTAGTAGGTCCCCCTTCAGAAAACCTGCATTTTGGCGGGTCCCCTCAAAAAAACAACGAAGGCGTTTTATCCCCTCTTTTTTTGGGGTGTGTCCAACCCGAAAAAAAGATGAGGCAGCCTGTGACGAGCCCCCCGACTGCTGGAGGCCAAGGCAGCGAGACGCCGGAGGAGCTCCTTGGTTTGGCGGATGTCCGGCTGCACGCCATGCTGAAGCGCTGCCTCGACGTTTGGGGCCGCTGATGTCGGCGGGAAAAAAAGCAACCCGCGCGATGCGCTGGTTGAAAAAGCGGCGTGACAAAAGGCGGCCGCGTTTCAAGGCGGCGTTTTCTTTTTTTTCTTCTGGCCTCATGTTCGACTGGCGGCGTTTGGCCTCACTTCGAAATTTGGACTGGCGGCGTTTGGACTGGCTTTTGGAACAAAGGCAGAGGACCCTGTTTTCGCTTCTGAGACTGGCTCATTAACTTCCGAGCCAGTCGCGAAGCACTTGCTTCAAAGCAGCGCTTTTTGGACTGGCGGCGGCGTTGAAAGGCGGCGTTGTTCACTGGCCTCATTTGGACTGGCGGCGTTTGACAGGCGGTTGACTGGCGTATGACTCAGAAAAGGGCAGTTGCAAGATTAAAATGTGACATGACCCCGCAAACGGATTTGTTTTGGGACCTCAGGCCCCATGATGAAGGTTTGTCTCAGCGGGCACTCTCATGTGTTTTCTTTGCTGGGGTATTTTTGTTGATGCAGCTATAGATGTGTGATGCGGGGTCATATTTGTGTTTGGCTTGTACAATGTTATTTAGAAGGGACAGATAATGGCAGATGTGTCAACATACAATTTGTTCACCCATTGCGAGTCAGGAGCGTCCATGTTTTTTTGTTTTTGCACAATTCTCGAACAACAGATGCAAAGGGTGCAACCCTGAATGCGAGTGGCTTGTGACCTTTGTGGGGTATTGATTACCCTGTGTTTTACTTGTCTTAGCATGGAAGTTGTTTGGCGCCTGGTTGGGTGGTGATGGCTGCTGTGGCCACAACAAGTGTTGTGTGCTCATTCTCGACAAATCAAACCATTGGTCGCTCATTGCTTTTTGAAGTTGTTTCGGGACCGAATTGGGCTGCTATCTCGCAAAAAGCAGGTTCCTGCTACCTCACCCTTCAGTCTTTTCAAATGCACACCTTTTTCTGGGTGAATATTTGTAACCCAAGGGTGCTCTCCAGTTGTCACTGCTTGGCTCCAGAGCTGAAACAAAGACCTTGCGGCAAAGTTGAAACGGCGAAACAGTGATATAACCAAATGTCTGTTTACCACAGAAAGTGGAGCCGTACAACGTGCTCTGATCAACTTCAAGCTTGCATCAAAGGACCATGTGTGTAGCATTAAGGAACCCATTTGTCAGAGCCCATTCAACGCGTCACCAGAATGTGAGGATCACAGCTGTTTAGGTCAGTTTGGTTGCTGAAGGATGGCACTCATTTTAACCTGGTTCTAAACATACTGCCAGTTATTTTCCTAAAGCAACCTATGGCTTTGCTTTCGTCCATATCGTGTTTTGCGGTACAGTTGATTCCACTAAGCCACAAACAAAAACCACTCAAACCCCTCACTTCACTTCCTGAGTTCCTGGACTTTAAGTTTTTTGGGAAGACCATTTTAGTGGTACGAGATAATTACAACGTTTGGACTGTTGTTGGCCAATCCACTCAGGAAGTGAGTCACAGGATTTTCAACTTCTTCCATTTGCTTAAGAAGATTGTTTATTTTCCCTTGTTGGTTTAAAAGGAATGTACCACTATTGGAACTATATATATATATACATGTTTTTTTTTTCCAGGGGGCTTAAGCAAAGGGAGGACTTTGTTGGTACTGGTATCAACTCAAGACCGCTTGGGCTGAATCTTTGGGAGATTGGCATGAAACCGAGCGGAATGAATCTGGACGTGCCGGGCGGCCCAGGGATCAGTCGGCGCGATTCATGGCTCGCTCAGCCTTTTTTGGGTTGGGCGCTGCAGTAAGTTCATGTCCCCCACTTTAAGTGGCAAATGTTGGCCTCAACAAAAGGGGGGCGTGGGTGCAAGAAGAATAAGAAATGAATGTTCTTGTGCAGATTGGTTGGAATCAGTTCTTGTGCTAAACTCGTACTAAACAAGTTCGAATCAATACTAAAGCAATACAAGCCAATCCTGAGCCGACTGCGGCCCCCCAAAAAGCCAATTTCTTTTTTGACACCCTTTGCCAAAGCAACGCCACGAAAAAGTCTTAAGGGCGTGGTACAGGCGGGAAACCAGTACTGAGCAGTACTTGCAGCGAGACTGGCCCTAATTTTGTTTCAGGGTTTTTCCCTATTCCCTCCCCCCAAAAAAATGTAGGGGGAAGGGGGGCCCCTTTACTAGTCACTCCCACAACATGACCCTCTTGGTTGGTGAAAGGAATATCAAGAACCCTTTTGAGCGAGTGTGATCCTGCCAATCTTGATCGAGAATGTTACCATTTGCTTCAATCCGAGTGTGAAAGGGCTATCAGTTCAAGATTCGCAGCAGTTGAAAGGATTTCCCACAGTCTCGCGCTTCGTTCCCTGCGTCTCTTTGAACCAACTAACGGCCGGCCATCTTGGGAACTCTCCCGGAGTTCAACTCATGACTGAATCGGCCGGCTCCCACTTCGGCGTGTCGTTTGGCAACAAGCTTTGCTTTGTCTTCAAACTCTTTCTGGCCCCCTTTCTTGAACCACACATGGGCGTTTCTCAAAATTGGGGACCAGTTCCTCCAGGTAGGTGGTGTCCTCTTGGTTTCTCTTTCAAAACCCATCCAACAAGTTGTTATTAGAAGCCTCCACATGTCCTGTCTAGGTCCCCCAGTAGTGCCCTTTCTCACCCCTTTTTTGGGGGAGGGTTCCCCTACTAAAATTGACTACAGAAAAAAGGGTACCCTTATTCTAACAGAAGGGGTCGTCATGGGGGCTGAGTTTTTTCAGATTCCAGGGGGCTGAGTTTTTCAGATTCCTGGGGGCTGAGTTTTTTTCAGCAAAAAACAAAAACAAAACAAACAAAAACACTAAAAAACACAGAACATCATCTGCATCTGCTAGTTCAGGGCCATGGGTCTGTTTTTTTGTTTTTGCTCATAAACACCAAGAAAACCAAAAAACACAGCCCATCATCTGAATCTGCTAGTTCAAGGCCATGGGTCTGTTTTTTTTTTCCCCTTTTTTTTCGTTTTTTAGTTTTTCCTGGTTTTCTGGCCACTCAATCTCAGTGGCTCCAGGCACTGGCTCCTAGTCTTCTCTGACTCTCTCATAAGCAACTTGGTTGCAACAATGTCTCTTGGGTCAAACTACTGTCTGACACCGGACTGCCAGATAGCTCATGATCTGCCTCGCTGTCAGCAGCTTTGCTCGTAGCGAACTAGCTTTGCTATCCCCAAGCTATCTGATATTCTAGCTTCATGGCTTTGGAGGCTGATAACATGACTTTATCTGCTGCCATAGAGGCCACGGAGCACCTCACACTCCGGGACTTGGCTGCCCACGTGCACGTGGGGCCTTTGCCGATAGGCGGCATGAACCCACTGACGCTTCCCTTGAAAGAGCTTCTCGCCTCAAAAAGTATGCTTGTGTTCGGACACATCTGGTATGTTTTTTTTCTTATGCAACCACGCGCAGGTTGAACGTGGCAAGTCCATCCCTCAAGCATTTCGTGGATGTCATCTACGATGTGCCACCCGGCTCAGTGAACATCAACAACCTCAAAGCCATCATTCGTGACAAGGCTTGGGAGGAATTGCCCGAGGTCTTGAAGATGAAGGAGAGGCCGAAGGTCGACTACGTGTCCCAGTACTTCCTCATCCCACAGGTGAACGGCAACATCTGTGTCTTGAAGCACTTCTATATCAAGCAGGACAAGGTCAAGGGCAGCTATGTTGCCCGTTTGATCCGAGGCGAAGGTTTCGAGCTCTCTTGGGGGGGTCGTGGCTTCCAGTACATGAGGGGGAGATCAATTTCGGCATTTCTCCTTGAGTGCGGAAAAGAGGAAGGCTCCAGGAAGCAGGGCACCCGCTAGCAAAGAAGATTAAGATGCAGGGTGGGACTTCATCATCACCCACGGAGAGCGAGACAAGGGCAATCTCAAGCAACTTCGTTGGATCCATCGACAGATCAATCGCGATGGAAGCCCAATCCATGGCTGGAATGAGAAGCTAGTCCAGAGGGCACTTGATTCTCTCGCTAACGATGGCACTATGGCAGCCCTCATCACGAGGTATGACCTGACCATCGACTGCCTGGAACCCGATGTGTTGGAGATCTTCGAGCAGTTGGTCCCCGATCTTCGTGGACATGCACTATGGCTCTTGGGCGAGCCCGGTATCGGGAAGACCCCATTGGCACGTATCTTGGCCATGATGTTTTCCCGTTACCATGGAGGCACGGGGACGTTCAGAACTGCATGCGATTTGGATTTTTTCAGAGGCGTCTCCTTTGACAAGACCTGCCCGGGACTCTTCGATGATGGAGAGGTGGGACCGATCAAGAAGAAGAAGGCGTTCAGTGATGTAGGAGACCAGGAAACAATCCTGCGAGAGAGGTGGACCGCGGCAAAGTTTGTGCAGCACCAGCTGCGTATCGTGATCGACAACCAGTATGACCCGGAGAATCAGCCTCCTGAGGTGTTCTTCAACAACAAGGTGGATCACAAGGTGTTCATGAAGCTTGTCCGGCCTGCTCCTGGCTACATCCCTGCAGCTGATGCCCATGCCATCTTGAAGCGTGCCGTCTTCGTGGTCTTCGGCAAGGAGTGGATTTACTATCGCCCCCCGACCGAGAAGGAGGTTAGCTTTAAGTGCTCAGGCAACTTCCAGTTTCAGTGGCCGTGGCAGTGTAGCGCAGATTCATTTGTATACTGTAGCTCTGTTGAAGCCTGTGTAGCTCACTTAGCAGGAATAGTTCTGTTATAAGCTCCGGTTTGCGGCGCTTGCTGCTTGCCATTGAGGGTCGCAGCTTTTGGGGCCCGATGTCTGGTACAGGTGAGCTTGTCCAGTGGCGGACAAACAGCTGCCCTGCGGCGTGCGCAAGTGTCAACCGCTGCAACTTGAAACGCTTTTAAGCTAGGAACCCTCCAGCCAACAGGAAACCAAGGACTTGGGGTCCAAAATTGCAGATTCTTTGCAGAACGGTTGCCACGTTGGACTTTGGATGGCGCGGGCGGCACAGTATTAGTTTATGTCGGTTGCAGCGAGGGCCAACTCCTGCGCTTTCAGAAGCTTCAATGCTGGGGAAGTTCAACGTGTTGATCAACATCAGTGCAGCCGATTCTTGGAGGGATACACGAGAATTCAGAAAGTGTTCGAGGTAGAGCGTCTCAAGTGGCCTCGAGGAGACATGTTCAAGGACTCGTGCAAGCCCGTGATCTCCAATATGAAGGACGGAGGGCCACCGCCAGGAGATTGTGAGGAAATGGTGGCTTGGGAAAATGCGTGGCTGAAGGAAGCCTTCAGGAAGCATGATGCCCCAGCACAAGCTCCAGTCGAGCCCGCTCCTCGTCACAGTCTACCACACCGATGCTTGACGCACTTCTCGCAGCTGATGGTGCCGATGGAGGCTCCTCATCCGTGCCCGTGCCCTTCGTCCCTGTGCCCATCAAGCAAGAGCCCTCCATGAGCTGGTTCAGACGGCTGCGACCCGCACGCACTCTGTCCATTGAGATCTCGTCGCCCTCAACTCCAGTGAACTTTGAGCTCGTGGTGAGGAGGATGACTTCATGCCAAAGACAGGAGAAGCTCCTGATGAGGGAGATGATGCTGAAGGTGGTGCAGGCTCAGCTGAGGAATTCAAGGACGTGTGCCTGGTGATCTCTTTGCAGAATCTAGGTTGTCCAGTGCATTGCGTGCGTGATGGTCCCTTTTCCATTGCAGATGGAAACTCTTGGCTCCAACCTCTTGGTGTGCATCTGCGAAAGAAGAATGACACCGCGAAGCTCTTCGATGACAAGTACATCGTCCACGACGAGCATCTCAAGCACTTCTTTGCTTTGGAAGTCAGGGAAGGATGCTTTGTGCAGAAGGACGGGGAGAACATCAACACTTTGACCTTCGGTGAGGTCATGAACTACCTCAAGGACACGCGCTTCACTCTCTTCTACCTGGCGCTCGGGGAGGCTCCCACCATGTCTCGTGAGTATTCCGGCGGGGCTGGTGTCAACCCCAAGCAGGCCTACTCCACGCACGTCAATAAGTGTTTGTGTGGAGAGGGAAGGTTCTACAAGGTGCACGACGTGGATGCTGTCGTCTATGGCATGTCTGGTCCAGAGGATGTGGTGGTGCAGACCAAGAGGCGCGGGTACTTCGATTGTCAAAGGACGTATGGTCCTAACTTCTATGTGCAGGAGGGTAAGAAGGTCAACACTATGCGCGAGGATGACGTCGAGGATGTGTTGTTCGTGCGTAGCAAGGTAGGCTTCACAGTGGACTACCTCAAGTACCACTCCGCATTGGAGTTCCGAGCCTTCGTCAGCAGCCGCGCCGTCCACGACGTTTATGAGGAGACCTTCGGCATCACCTATACCCGCTTTCGGAGAGACCACGCAGATGCGGTTCTCTATTGGATGACCCTCTCCGAGTTGAGCCCCCTCGATTTGCACTTGGACATCGTCATCGGTGAGGAGCTGTCGAAGGAGAGTTTGGATGCGTACTCCTCCTTCGTGCATAAGAAGGCGTTCCCTCCCAAGAGCAAGAGCAAAGTCAAGGAGATAGTCGCAGATGGGCATTCCAAAGTCCACATCAAGTGCTGTGGAAACAACCCACCTTCAGGGCAGCATGCTGGGAAGCCTCGAAAGGACGGCAAGCTCAAGCCTTATGGGCATGGATGGTTCATGACCGTGAACCCCCAGGATCTTCGAGTGTTGTCGGCATCTCCTATGAACCAGGCTGAAGGCAATGACATCGTCGAAGACTCCCTCGTCAACTTGCTCCCGGTCTACCAGAATGTCGACACCTTCATCCTCGATCGATGCTGTGCTTTCGCCCCAAAGGCTCAGAAGGACAAGAGGTTCAAGCAGATCAAGTTCTGGGCGGTTGACAAGTGGCATGCGCAGAAGCACAACAAGAAATGCACATGCAATCCCTTGCACATTCGCCGGCTGGAGCGTCGCTTGGAGGATGTCAATACGTCATCTGCAGAGCAAGTGTTCTCTTGGTTCCGCCAGTACGCGAAGATCCTGAACGAGACTCGCTCCGGCACTCACACACTCAAGGTGCTGTACTTCTGTCGCATTCACAACAAGAACATTGACGACAAGCAGGAGTTGTCCTACCTCCCTACGTATGTGGATGGCACGCGCAAGAGATCTTCTAAGCCTTACGAGTGTGGAGTGCTTAAGCGCCCTGCCAAGGGAGATGGAGTGTTGAAGCGCCCTGCCAAGAAGAGTGGGATTTTGAAGCGCCCTGTCAAGGCCTGATTCAGGCTGTCTTCTGTGTAGCTTGACGCTAGCTCATTTTCCAGGTCTGGATGCATCGGAGTCTTCATTGGATCGAAAATGGATCTGTGCTTGCATGTCATCAGCAAAAAACGCACCCCAATAAATCTAAGAGGTCACGGGTCTTGATCTTATATATTTGGTATTTTTAGTGTATTAATGGAAAAACTCAGCCCCCAAGAATCTGAAAAACTCAGCCCCCAGGAATCTGAAAAACTCAGCCCCCACGCCGACCCGCCCTCTATTCTAACCTTTCTACTGGAGGACCTAGGCCTATTAGAAGCCTCCACATGTCCTGTAGAGCTGCTCTCCGGAGCGATTCGGTTCTGACTAAACCAGGCTCGCCTCCAGCCGAGCGGCAGCCCGTAGCCCAGCATCGGCCCGAAAAACGGCCGAGTGTCTTGGCGGTTCCCAGCGAATCGTCCGGTTCCGTAGGTGTTTGCTGTTTTGTTAGTCTTTTTTTGAGCGGGTGCCATTCAACCCACAGAAAGTTGAATTGCATAGCAGGGGATCCGAGGACAGCCCAGGAATGTTTCTTCTGTTAAAGTTAGTGTTTGTTTGGCTTGGTGCGTTGTGTCGTATGTTGCTGTGGTGTGCTGAGTCGCTATGCTTTGTGCTGAGGCGTGCTGTGTTGTGTTGTGTTGTGTTGTTTTCGTGTTGATTGATTGTGAGTGTGTGTGTGTGTGTGTTTGTTGCTGTGTGTTGCGTTGTTTGTTGTTTGGTTGTGCTTGTGTCGTGTGTTATGTTGATGTGGGTGTGGCTCAACATTCTCGAGCTAGGGTTAGGCAGTTAGAACTCGGTTCCATTTACCAATTCCAATTCTAGTACATAGTTTTGACCCGCAGCCCACAGCCATGAGGTTTCCTGAGTTGTGTTTGGCGTTGGTTCGTGTTGTGTTGCGTGTGGTATCATAATTGTCCCGTACTTGAACCATGAAATTGGGGGCGGGGGCAAGGACATTGTGCTTCAACGAAGAAACATGGGCCCACCGCTTTGCGGTGCATTCGAGGTCACCTGGACCTTTACCAGCCCTACAGGTTGTTCGGGGATGGTCGTTTTGTTTCACCATCCGTGAGCATGGTATCGTCCTTTTGGAGTGCAGGGTTGAGAACTCAGCAGGTGCCTGGTCCCATCAGCAAAACAGCAGCAAGACATCCCCCCTGGAAATTCTGGCGGTTTGGCAAGTGGGGCCGTGCCATAACATACAACGTGGTTGTTGTTGGGATTGTGGTTGAGTGGTTGAAACCCAACCACTTAGCTGCTAAAATTGGAAAATGTTTGCTCCCCTTCCAACGCCAACCAAGACGTTCAAAAGGGGGTGTATACCCCTTTTGAGGAGAGGGGTATGAACATCAGGCCTTTTGGGTTCATTTGCCCTGATCAAAAGGTCCTCTTCCAACGTCAAGGGACCAAGGAAGGGGAACGTGGCAAACGGTCGCCGAGCCTTCCAGGCCGGGCCTTTCCTGATCCTAGGGGCGGCCCTGCTGTTGGCGCCAGGGGCTTGGCCTGCTGGGGGGCAGGGCAGGGGGGGTAGGGGGCAGGGGGGGCAGGTTATTTGTTGGCATTTTGGGGTGGGTGTTGGCACTGGAGGGCGGCCCGTTTGGGTTGGTTTAACCTTGCAGTTTTCCCTTGAAACCACGTTTTCCGTGGTTTTGGCACCGGTTTGTGTGAGGGTCTTGGGCTGGGTCATGTTTCAATTGTGCAGTGAAACAAACATGTTGGGAGGTCTCAAACATCACGCAGGGCGGGATGAGCCTCACAGAGCTCCAATGAATTCAGTTCAAGGCATGGTTGGCCATTCCACCTGGCACATGTTTAAACCATGTTTGCTTAAGCATCGTCTTTAGGGTTTTCCTTTGAAGGGGATCATGGTCTGGTTGTTTAAACATCTTTTCGCAACGGGCTGGGGAAGGCAGCGGTGGAATGTGCTTAGCGTTGGAGCTTGTCCCAATTGCGTTTGTCCCTTTGGAGGGTACCTCTTTATTTGTGGTTTAAAGCGTCGCCGGGAGTCCACGGATTCATGCAGTCGAACCCGTCCGTGGAATTCCCTTACACGCAAATTGCCCACGTCACCTCTCAACGGTTCTTGCTCCCAATGGTTCAGCGGCACCCTCTAAATGGCCATGGGTCAAAATCCCGTACCAGTGGACATCCCAATCCCCACTAAAATAGACTAAAATGGGTGGTGCACCTACCCCAAAATAGTATCAAAACGGTTTTGACCAACAGCCAAATCTCTTCTGGTTGCTGGGTGCCACACTAAATGGTCAAACCCCAACAGGGTGCTCTTTCTCTACCAGCGTCACTGGGCAGGTGGGTGCTAGGAGGTGCCATTTTTTTTCGGTCTCTGGATACTTTATCTGCATAAAACAAAAATTAAATCCCAGCAACAAAGCTAGCGTCCAAATGGGTGTGGCCTTTTCATGCTACAACGTCCATCAATGTTGTGCCTTTTCTGCGGACTAGAAGTCCATCGGTCAAGGACAGTGGCGGGTGTTCCAGTGCGCAATTGAAAGGCTCACCCCATGTTTGATTGCAGTCGAACTTAGAAGTTGCGATTTCAATGTCAGAGAGAACCTTCCATTTGCTTAAGAATATGTTTTATTCTCCCTTGTTGGTTTTAAAAGGAATTTATCACTACTGGAAATATGTTTATTTGTTCCAGGGGTCTTAACCAAAAGAATTGAACTTGTCTTGCCGAAGCCAGAAACAAGTCGGAGGGTAGGGAAATGGGTGGGCCCGGGTATGGGTCAATTTGTTTCACCACCAGACCGCAGGGTTTAGTGCATGTGTCCATTTGCCACCGGGCCATTTTGGGGGACCAAATGTGCTGGTTGCCCGATTGCCCCACTTGGATGTTTGTTGCCAAGAAAGTGGTTAGGCACCTGGGTTGTCACCCGCTAATGACGGGGGACCAAGTGGGTTAACAACCAGGTTACTAGCAACCTACTAAAGTACGGTAACTTAGACGAACCCGACCCTGAACTTTGACTTATGTCAAACGGAATCAGGGTTTTCTCCAGTTTGGTTTTCAAGCGACTTGTCGGAGAGATTCCTGGCCGAAATGTGTCGTCTTGTTTTTTTCTCACTCTTCCAACAACCCCTCAATTGGTGGGTTGGGTTGGTGGTCTGGGACTTGAACCCTGGTTCTTGTGGAGGATAAGAAGGTAACGGCTTGGCTTACGCA